AATGGTTAGATGATTCAGACAGAAAATCAACAGCAGCCTTAATGAAATATTAGACCACATGGACTTAAATGATATTTTTAGACCATTTCACTGCAAAGCAACAGAATACACATTCTTTTCAAGCACACATGGTACAGTATCCAGGAGCAACTTGCCACAAAACAAGTTTACATCATATTGAGCATCTTCTTCAATCCAATGGTATGAAACTGGAAATCAATTATGAGAACAACACTGAAAAACATGAACATTTGGAGGCTAAACAACATGCTACCAAACAATAAATGGTTAACAGGTTCAAGGAAGAAATCAAAAGATACACTGAGACAAATGGAAACGAATACACAATGACCCTAAATCCGTGGGACACAGCCAAAGTAGCTGTAAGAGAGAAATTCACAGCAATATAGGTCTACCCCAAGAAACAGGAAAAATCGCAAACACACAATTTAACCTTACACATGAAGCAACCTGAAAAAGAACAAACAAAGCCCAAATTTCATAGAAGGAAATAATAAAGAGTATAGTGGAAATAAAATAGAGTCCAAAAATGCAAAATATTGAGACCAAGAGGTGGTTCTTTGAAAAAATAAACAAGACTGATAAACCTTTAACCAGACTCATTAGAGAGAGAAAAAAAGCTCTTTTTAAGAAAAAAAAAAAAAGAGTCCTGGTCAATGTGGCTCAGTTGGTTGGGCATCATTGTTCAAACTGAAAGGTTGCAGGTTCCATCCCCAGTCAGGACACGTGCCTGGGTTGTGGGTTCAGTGCCCCATTGGGGCACGTGCAAGAGGCCACTGATCGATGTTTCTCTCCCTCTCTTTCTCCCTCCCTTCCCCCCTCTCTAGAATCAATAAAATATTAGAAAGAGAAAAAGGAGACTGAAATAAAATCAGAAATGAAAGAGAAGTGCCAACTGACACCACAATAATACAAATTATTTTTAAAAAATACTATCAACAATTACATGCCAACAAGTTGGACAACCTGGAAAAAATAAATTCTTAAAAACTATATAATCTTCCAAGGCTGCATCAGGAAGAAACAGAAAATCTGAAAAGCCTGAAAACTACTAATGAAATCCAATCAGTAGTTACATTCAAAGAAAATTTAATGCCTATTTTCTCAAACTGTTACAAAAAACTGAAGAGGAAGGAAAGCTCCCTACCTCATTTTATGGGGCCAGTACTACCCTGATACCAAACCAATCTAAGACATTACAAAAAAAGAAAATTATAGGCCAATATTCTTGTTGAACATAGATGCAAAAATCCTCAATAAAAAGTTAGCAAACTGAATTCAGCAATACATTAAAAAGATCACATACCATAATCCTGTGTGTTTATTCCCAGGATACAAGGCTGGTTCAGTATCTGCAAATCAATGTAATACATCACATATACAAAATGAAGTATAAAAATCATGATATCACTAGATGCAGAAAAAGCATGACAAAATCCAATATCCAATTATGATAAAAACTCTCAGCAAAGTGGGGATAGAGGGAACATACTCAACAGTACAAAGGCTACATATGACAAACCCACAGCTAACATCATACTTGATGGTAAAAAGGCGAAAGCTTTTTCTTTAACATCAGGAAAAAGACAAGAATATCCATTCAGCACACTATCAGAGGTCCTAGCCACAGCAATCAGACAAAAAATAAAATGTATCTGAATTTTAAACTGTATTAGATTATTTGAAATTTTTCTTGTTTCATGGGGATTTTTACATCTATATTCAACAGGGATATTGGCCTATAGTTTTATTTTTTTGGTAATGTCTTAGTCTGGTTTTGGTATCAGAGTAATACTGGCCTCCCAAAATGAGGTAGGGAGACTTCCCTCTTCAATTCTGTGAAATAGTTTGAGAAAAATAGGTATTAAATCTTTGAATGTTTGGTAAAATTTACATGTATGTCATTATTTGCAAATTACATACTACATAGAGAACCATAAAGAATACACTAAAACACTGTAAGAACTAATAAATGAATTCAATAAAGTAGCATGGTACAAAATTAATACTCAGATATAGGTTGTAATTTTGTATATCAATAATGAACTATTGAAAGAGAAATTAAGAAAGCAATCCCATTTACAATTGCATGAAAAAGAATAAAATATCTAAGAATAAATTTAACTAAGGAGGTAAAAGAACTGTACTTGGAAAATTGTAAGACATTGAAATATGAAGTTGAAGAAGACACAGATAAATGGAAATTTATACAGTGCTCATGTATAGTAAGATTAACATTTTTTAAATGTCCATAGTACCCAGAGCAATTTACATGTTCAATGTAATCCTTATCAAAATAATCAATGGCATTTTTCACAGAACTAGAACAAATAATCTTAATATTTATTTGGAACCAGAAAAGACCCAATATCCAAAGCTATCTTGAGGAAAAAAGGAACAAAGTTGGAGGCATCACACTACCTAATATCAAACTATACTATAAGGCCATACCAATCAAAACAGCATGGTACTGGCATAAAAACAGACACAAAAATCAATGGAACATAATAGAAAGCCCAGAAATAAACCCATGCCTATATGGTTAATTAATCTATGACAAAGGAAGTAAGAATATACAAAGAGGGAAAGACAGTCTCTTCAATGAATGGTATTGGGAAAACTTGATAGATACATGCAAAAGAACCAAACTGGATCACTTTCATATGCCATCTACAACATGGATTAAAGCCTTAAATGTAAGACTCTAAACCGTAAAACTCTTAGTGATATTTCTTTGGATATGTCTTCTTGGTCAAGGGAAACAAGAAATAAAAAAATGGGACTACAGCAAACTAAGTAGTTTCTGCAGTGAAGGAAACCATAAACAAAATGAAAAATAAAAATCTACTGAATGGAAGAGGATATTTGCCAATGATACATTCAATAAGGATTAATATCCAAAATATATAAGGAACTCATACAACTTATCACCAGAAAAAAAAATCCGGTAAATTAATGGGCAGAGGGCTTGAACACACATTTCTCTGGAAAGAACAATATGAAAGATGTTCAACATCACTCATCATCAGGGAAGTGTAAATTAAAACCACTTCACACCTCACAGAATAGCTATCATCAATAAATTCACAAACAAGTGCTGGGGAGGATGTGGAAAAAGGAGAACCCTCATGCATTGGCAGTGGGACTGTAAATTGTTGCAATCACTATGGAAAACTGTATGGAGGTTCCTCAAAGAATTAAAAATAGAAATACAATATAACCCAGCAGTTCCACTTCTGGGTATTTATCTGAAAAATCTAAAACACTAATTTAAAAAGCTATATGTATCTCTATGTTCACTGAAGCATTATTTACAACAAAGAAGCAACCTAAGTGTCCATTAACAGAGAAATGGATAAAGTTGTGGTGCATATATACAATGGACTATTAGCCATAAAAAATAAATTTTTGCCATTTGCAACAACATGGTTGGACCTAGAGGGTATTATGCTAAGTGAAAAGTCAGACAAAGATAAGTACCATATAATTTCATTTATATGTGGCATGTAAAAAATAAAATAAATTAACAAAGAAAACAGAAACAAACTCATAGATACAGAGAACAACTTGATGGTTGCTAGATGTGAGTGGGGTTGGGAGATGGGTGAAAAGGGGGAAGGCATTAAGACATGCAAACTGCCTGTCATAAAAATGGTCATAGGGATAGGTTTACAAATTGAGATAAATCAGTGGAAAGAGAGAGCCTGATATAAAAAGACATCACAGATTAGGTAAAGTCCTAAAGGTAATGGATAACAATCAAGACAGATGGTGATACCTCTGAAACCACACATAAGTGAAGATACAAATAACTGGTATGAAGGTAATTTGAGAGTTTATTTTCGAGGGATCCAGTTTTCACTGACATAGAAGTAGTCTGCAAAGAGAGGGTGAGGAATAGAATAAGAGGTGCAGAAAAGTAAAAACAAAAAAAACAAAAAACAAAAAACTGGGGAAACTGCTTACAAAAATATGGGGGAAAGAAACAAAAAGCTTATCAAGCATAATTGAACTCTGTGAGATACAAATAAACACTATAATGGAGCCAATATGTGTGATTATATGATTCAGCTAGATTGTTCAGGCCAGAGTTTATAAACTGTGAAGGCAGACTGGGCTGTTTTGGTGTCAAATGAAGGTTCTTATGAAGAGTGTTGGTGAAGTGCTTGATTTTAAAATCCCAGAGTGAGGAAGGCAGTGATACCAAAAAAGATGGATGTTTCCAAGGAAGAACTGGATTTAATGACTGAATGGATATGGAATCTGATAAAGGAAAATAAAGACAAACAAGATTCCTGATTATCTGATAGAACTGACAAGACTAATGTCCAAAACAGAATTCTTGGAGAGGGAGTAGGCTATACAGATTACCAAAAAATTTATTGTAAGATTAGATTGGAAAAGCTTAGAAGAACAATCTTGCCATTTTTAAAAGGAATAGGAGTAAGGCATGTCCTAGAGAAGTTAAGTGACTTTGCTGAAGTCTTGAGGCACTAAACAAAGGCTAGAAATGACTTTAAACTCCAGGTCATTCTATTACATCACAGAATCTCACTTGACATGATAGCAGGAAATACAGATGGTGATGCTTTTTGAGGAGACTCAGTAACACTAAAATTGGTTTGAATTTCTAGGTTCATTTTAGGTGATAGTGGGGATATATGATTTAGGAACAAAATGAATCTCAGAGAAGCCAATCTGAGATAAAACATTTCCTCTGGTAATCCACATGGAGATAATCAAGAGTTGGATGTAGAATGATATAAGCAACTTAAAATATTCTAACGCAAGAACATTTTATGCTTCAAAATCCTCTCAATGTTACTTGGCAATATAGATGATAGGACATATAAATTATCATGGCTTAGAATCTTAAACATTAAGAAGAGCTTTGCTTACTTTTAAGGTTCTTTTTATCTTACACAAATATGAAATACTGAAGTCTGATTCTTGTTTAAGGGGCTAGACATTTGCCTTACCTTTACTACCTTGTAGTCACACAAGTATTCCACCTCATAATTGTTTAGATTCCTTTTGGTGATTCCAATCGATTTACATGTGAGCTTTTCTTTTCTACATAATTCCTGAAGAGTATCAAGTGAAACTAGGCAAGGCACACACCAAGCTACAATAAGAAAATAGAACTCTTTACTAATGAAACAGCTACTGAATAAAATCAAAAAAGGAAAAGGAAAACTTAACACTTCTATATCCCCACCTTTCTACTGGCAATTTTCTAGGACTAAAAATTCTTATGACAAGAAGCCATTTTTGTGTCTTCAAGACAAAGTTAAGTATTAAAGAATTATTGTGAAAATTGGTCTTCTTGGACTTTCTCATGGATTCCTACACTACTATGTTAACTGATGTCAATTAATTTCTACTGAGCCACCTGAACAAAATGTTTCATAGAAAGTCTGGAAGCTTTCTTAAGATTACATATAGATCCAAAGGTCAAAAGGGATAATGTTTTTGACTTTTCCAGTAGAGTCTACACAGGATATAATTGCTGTTTTAATAAAATATAGATATCTAGGATATACTTATTGTTAGAAATATCTTAAAGATATCATAAAACAATCTTGTAATTTGTTAAAAATTTAAAACCTTTTCTCCCTTTCTCTTAGTTGGAGAATAAAAACTGAAATCTAACTGAAATATAGTTCTATAGTTACTCATGTATCACATGTCCTACTTTTCCCAGTTTGCAATGTAGCATGAAATTTTAACTCCACTTATCTTGCCCACGCTCCAATGTTATTATTATGAAGATGAGTAATCCCCAAAGTTATAATAAAACAATGGAGAGCATACTGAGTTTTGCCATACTCATTTCTTGTATTGTTTGTTAAAATCAAGAATTACAAAACAAAGTATTCAATTTACATGACCCATATACCAAGCTTGACGAAAATCAGACACATTCATAATCGATCTTACAATAAGCCAATATCTTATTGTACTGCAGCAGATTTCACCCTCAAATTTCTGTTCCCACAGTGCTAATAAAATATGTTAACACAAACTGATATTTAGAAACCTGTAATAAGCTTGGTTTCGTGGATAAGTGTTATGGTAAGCACTAGAGAGGACCAAAGGTCTTCTGCCCCAGCCTTTGCTAGGCCACTTAGCTATATGACTTTAACTAGATTTTCACCATTCAAGGTTTTAGATTCACTGAGAAAATGTGGGAGTTTAAGTAAATTGGGGTTACCGAACAAAATCTATCAGTAAACTCAAGCTTTACTTGGTAGCTCTCCAAGGTAGTCTCGATAACCTTTTGTGTTTTGAAGTAATTCAGAGACCACAGCTGCTCTTGGTAGATCCACTCCTCACCTTCCACTCACACAGGGATTTCATTGTCAGAAACCCTGAAACAGGGTTTCCACTCCCCCACCACCACCACCTTCCTACAAATTGTCCTTCCTACAAAGGACAATTCCTAGATCAAGAAAGTAAAAGACATCCCTCTCTCAAAAAAATAATTGGGAGGAAGAGGGTGCTTGCTTTGGAGTGGTGGTTTGGGGGTGGAAGAGTAGTAGAACAGAAATGAACCCTTAAATCCTTTCCATTAAAAAACTTCAGGACGTTTTGTGTAAAGTTAACCTCATTATGTTGATCACATGCAAAAGAGGTTCCTTTAGGATATCTACCCCAGGTGATTTGTCTGCTGTTCCTACCATTCTCACCTAGTTGAAATAACAAGAAGATTCAAGACACAACCCTCGATGGAAATGCTGTTGAGAGTTTAAAAAAAAGGACAAAGAAAAAGGGGAGCGGGCATAAAACACTTTTGGTAATAATCTCAATTATCTATAATGTAGGGGGAAAATTCATTTACAAGATTACACATTTTATTTCCACCACAAAAACCTCACAATAGTTCACAGTAACCTCAAGTGGAAAAACACCTGGGGAATAAAGACTTGATAATCTATGTGGAGAGAAATAGTCTGGAAAACACCTTCAAATTCTAAAATGCAATGCAAGTTCCAATCTTTTTCAAAGGGCACACAAGAATGCATCCAAGTTCAGTAGCTAATTCTTTGGCGTCCACGCAAATAACACACAAGTTTCTGGTGGATATAAAAATGACCCCAGGCTAAAGGATACATTCTCCAATACCCACTTACTAGGATAAGCTCCGATGAGGAATTTCACCTCCTAGTGAGACCGAATTGGGGTGTATCCTCGCTTAATTTCCTTTATTAGCAGTCATAGGTCAGGCCCAATTTCTTTCTTTTCCTCTGTCTGATACTGAGGTCACATTTAAACCACCGGTACCCAGCTAAAACGCCAGCCCCAACTGAAAACGTCCCGCTCAAACCACCACAAAAGAGTCAAGCCACACGCGCGCCCACGGGAACACGACCCCCCTGGGAATCAGCCGGCGTCGCGGCGGCCGCCTGAATACCTCTACACGGCCACCGGGTGGGGAGGGGCCGCGAGGCCCAAGAGACCTCGGCGGGGCGGAGGGAGCCGATCCCGGCGGCCGGCGCACCGGCCGGGGCGCAGAGGGAAACTCCGGGGAGCGTGCCGGCCGAGCCGCGAGAAGGGTCAGGGGCCGGGGGAAAGGTGAAGCCCGCGGCGCGCATCTGGGGGCCCAGGTGTCAGCAGGGCGGGAGCCGGCGCCGCACTCGGCCTGGACCGCGCGTCCCGGCACGCTTCCCGGGCCTGGGGAGTTTGCCGGGAGAACGGGTGCTAGTGAGGGGCGCCGCTCTCTAGCCCTCACCTTCTCGCGCCTCGGCCCCGGCCGCCGCCATCTTGAAGAGCTTTCATTCAAACTGGCGCGGTCAGACAGGATAGTGCAACGGGTCTGCACTCCGCCCCTGCCCGGCAAGCGCGGGAGTTGGGGGCCGGGCTGAGGGGCTGGACCCCGCGAGGCGTGCTGACGTCACTGGAGGCCGACCCCCGGCCGCAGTGGCTAGCGCGCCTGCGCTCCTTGTCGCGTACCGGCGCGTGGGAGGGTGCGGGAGGGAGCCAGGGCCGTAGAGGAGAGGGTCTTGTAGGTGCGGTGGGGCGTGTCGGGGGTGGCATACCCCGGCGGGACTGGCGGCGCTCCGTTAGATTATTAGCTACCTTCTCCTGTCTGGCTGGTTTATCGCCCAATCAAGGGGCACCTCAATCAGGCCTTCCCACGCGCGTTTTAGCTTTACGTGGCATTACGTGAGTACTGTGCAAAATCCAAAACAGCGGGACTATATGGTGCATTCCCTTTCCATGCCTGTTCTTCGGTCACCTGAACTAACCATTTTTTGTAAAGATTTTATTTATTTTTAGAGAGGGAGAGAAACACGGATGGGTTGCCTCTTGCCGCCAACTGGGGACCTGGCTAGCATGGGGAATTGAACAGGCTACCTTTCAGTTTGCGGTTCCAATGCCCAACCCACTGAGCGACACCAATCAGAGCAGTGGACTAACCATTGTTGTTTCCTCCCACGCTACTCAGATCACAGGCTATGGAAATTGGCTGGACATTGGGGTCCCTTCTGGAGGGGTTTTGCTTTCTGGTCCCACTCATAAAGATTGATTTAATTGGTATGGGGTGTGGCCTGGACATTGGAATCTTTACAGCTCCCCAGGTGATTCCATTGTGCAGCAGTTTGAAACCACCGTTTAGATCAGTGTTTCTCTCATACCTGAATGGGCACAGGAATCATCCTGGATTGTGTTAAAACAGATTCAAATGGTAGATCTAGGCTGGGTCCTGAGGTGTTGCATTTCTGGTGAGTAGTGTTCTGATGATGCTTCTGGATTGGGACCATACTGTTGTAGCGAGGCTGCGTTCACACCCAGGCACTCTACTAGGACAACTACAGGACAACTCTACTAGGACAACTCCTAATGGGTCTCTATCCCTCCCCACCCACACCCATTCTTCACACTGCATCCCTGATGGTTGTTCTAAACCAATGATTTTCAAGCTTTTTCATCTCACAGCACACATAATTACAAAAATATTACAGCACACTAAAAATATACCAAAAAATATTGTTTTGCCTTTGTGACAAAAAATAGGTATAATTTTTATTCATTCACACTGGACGGCTATTGCTGTTGGCTGTTGTCATTTTTTTAGTTGACAATCTAAGGGAAAAGCCCCCTGACTAAAAATCAAATATTGCATGTTTTAAAAATTCTTGTGGCTCACCGGTTGAAAAACATTGTTCTAAACAATCGAAAGCAAAAATCACAAAAGAGTAAATTGCAAAAACTTTGGTAGAAAGCAGTTTGCTAGACTTCTGGCCAAGATGAAGGTGGAGGTAGACACACTGTGCCTCCTTGCACAACCAAAATAAGGACAACAACAATTTAAAAACAAAAAACAACCAGTACTGACAGAAAATTGAACTGTATGGAAGTCTTGACAATCAAGGAGTTAAAGGAAGACATATTCAGACTTGTAGGGGGGTGGAGTTGGGCAGGTGGGGCAGAGTGGGGCCAGCTAGGCAGCCAATTGTGGGGCAGGGAGCACAAGGTGGCTGGCAGACCAGGCAGTCCCACATTCTCTTGCAGATAAACCAGGCAAAACTGGGGAATGGGATGGACCACGCAACCCAGGGGAAATGAAGCCTCAAAACACTGATTGAAAACACCTGTTGGGGTTGAGGTTCCAGGAGAGACTCCCAGCCTCACAGGAGAGTTCCTTGGAGGAACCAACAGGGTCCTAGAATGTGCACAAACCCACTCACCCGGGAATCAGCACCAGAAGGGCCCAGTTTGCTTGTGGGAATCGGGGGAAGTGACTGAAATACGGCAGAGAGCAGAACAAGCACCATGATTCCCTCTTGGACCCCTGCCCCACATACAGGGTCACAATGCAAGGACTGGTTGCCCTGCCCTGGTGAATACCTAAGGCTCTGCCCCTCACTACTAACGGGCGCATCAAGACAAAAAAAAAAAAAAAGACCCAAACGAAAGAACAAATCAAAGCCCCCCCCAAAATACAACTAAACGACGAAGAGGTAGCCAACCTATCAGATGCACAGTTCACAACACTGGTGACCAGGATGCTCACAGAATTGGTTGAATTTGGTTGCAAATTAGATGAAAAAATGAAGCCTACACTAAGTGAAATAAAGGAAAATGTACAGGGAACTAATAGTGATGGGAAGGAAACTGGGACTCAAATCAATGGAGTGGACCAGAAGGAAGCAAGAAACATCCAATCAGAAGAGAACAAAGAAACAAGAATTCAAAAAAGTGAGGAGAGGCTTAGGAACCTCCAGGACATCTTTAAACGTTCCAACATCGGAATTATAGGGGTACCAGAAGGAGAAGAGGAAGAGCAATAAGTGGGAAAGTTATTTGAACAAATAATAAAGGAGAAATTCCCCATTCTGGCAAAGCAAATAGACTCCCAGGAAGTCCAGGAAGCTCAGAGTCCCAAAGAAGTTGGACCCAAGGAAGCATAAACCAGGCACATCATAATTATATTACCCAAGATTAAAGATGAGAGAATCTTAAAGGCAGCAAGACAAAAGGAAAGAGTTATCTACAAAAGAGTGCCCATAAGGCTATCAGCTGATTTCTCAAAAGAGACCTTATGGGCAAGAAGGGGCTGGAAAGAAGTATTCCAAGTCATGAGAGGCAAGGACCTAAATCCAAGATTGCTCTATCCAGTAAAGCTTTCATTTAGAATGGAAGGGCAGATAAAGTGCTTCTCAGATAAGGTCAAGGTAAAGGAGTTCATCATCACCAAGCCCTTATTATATGAGATGTTAAAGGGATTTATCTAAGAAAAAGAAGATAAAAAACATGTACAGCAAAATGACAGCAAACTCACAATTAACAACCACACCTAAAACAAAAACAAAAACAAACTAAGCAAACAACTAGGACAGGAACAGAACCACAGAAATGGAGATTACATAGAGGGTTATCAACAGGGGAGTGGGAGCGGGAGAAAGGGAGAAAAGATACAGAGAATAAGTAACAAAGATGGTAGCTAGAAAATAGACAAGGGGAGGGTAAGAATAGTATGGGAAATGTAGAAGTCAAAGAACTTGTAAGTATGACACATGGACATGAACTAAAGGCTGGGGGGAATGTGGTGGGAGGGGGTGTGCAGGGTGAAGGGGAGTGAAAGGGGAAAATAGGACAACTATAATGGCATAATCAATAAAATATATTTAAAAAAAGAAAGCCATTTGCCATCTACCAAGGATTTAAAAAATAAATTTACATTAAAAATTACAAAAATATTTCAAAGCATCTATAGATTTTTGCAATATCAAAAGTAATCATAGAACATTAAAAAATTATATTTGTTTCCATTATGAAATAGTGTCTGGCCACTACAAAAGATCTTTAGGAAGCCTTTAGTATCATGAGGTTTATTTAATGTTAAGCAAAACAAAAACTTGTAAAATATATGGAGTTTCAACTGTGTAAAAAATGTATAGGAAGATAAATATAAATTATCTGGGGATTATTTTCAAAGACAAAAATTTTAACTTACCATCTTTACAAATTTAAGCAGAAATCCCACCAAAGATGGAAATATAGGTATTTTCTAAGCAAGAAGCAGAGAATTGACCAAGACCGGGGGATAGGGAGCAAAGAATATTCAAAGTTATGAGTTAGAATAGGAGGAAATGATGAGCAATGAAGCTTGAGAAGTAGACAAGAACTGCATCCCAGAGAACCTCCATGTGATAGGTTGGATAGGACCTTTTATTCCTCTTTATCAAGGCAACGGGATAAGGAGAGAGGACTTGAATAGAGCCTTACTTCCAATCAGGGCTTCTCTCACCCCTGCTTCCTAAGTGTAGTCACTGGAAGTTCTGACGGCACCTCTCGAGTATCCATTCTTAGGCAATTTCTTTTCTGGTTTTCCTTCTACCTCAGTGGCAACTCTTCACTCCCCTTTCTGGCTGCCTTTCCTCTATCTGACCTAAATGCTGGGGTTTCTCAGGTCTAAGCCCTGAGACATTTCTCTTACGCTCTTTCCCTAAATGACTGCCTCAGTTCCCATGGATTTAAATACCATCTTTATCATCTTCATGCGTTTTGTCTCCAGCCCTGATCTCTGTCCTGAATTCCAGATTTTAATATCTATAGTGCCTAGCTGACATATCCACTGAGGTGTAGTACAAACACCTCAAATTGATAAAAATGATACTCATAAAAGTACCCTTGATTTTTGCCACCAAACCTGGTTCTCCCCACAAACTTTTTCATCTCAATACACTGGCACCATCTACTCAGGTGTTTAAGAAGGAAATCTAGGTGTTCTTGGGTCACCCTCTCCTCACATTCTCCAAATTCCATTAGGAAGGCATGTCAATGGCATGTCCAAAATATGAGGTCTGTCCAGAAAAAGTCACGCCATTGATTATATAACAAGAACAGTTTGCACGACATCGATATAAACTGATGGCCAAGGAGAGTGGACTGGAATGTGCATGTGTGAACAATGATGACTTCACTGCACTAGTCAGTGGGGGTGGTAGATGCTGTTGAGTGAGCATGTGTACTGTGTGGCTGTCACATTCAAGGTGACTGAGTGAGTTGAGCAATGAATCTGCATCAAATTTTGCATTAAGCTTAAACATTTCCTCTATGGAAACTATTCAGATGATTCAGAGGGCTTTTGGGGGACGATGCAAGGAGTGCAGTACAAATAAAAGTGTGGCACACATGCTTCAAAGGTGGTTGAGAATCTGTTGAAAGTGATCCATGTTCTGGAAGGTCTGCAACAAGCAGAACACCTGAGAATGTTGACTGTGTAAGGGCTGCAATCAACAAACATCAGCAATTGACAGTGTGAGGATTAGAAGCTGATCTGGGGATTCCAAAACCTACTGTGTCTGAGATTCAGACACAGATCTTGGCATGAAATGTGTCATGGCAAAGTTTGTTCCA